GAGATCTGGGAAACGGGAGAGAGGAAAACGAAAATATATGTATATATACAATTTTCTCTCGCTTTATACAAACACAAACGCATTTTATACATTTGCGTTTGTGTAAAAGCGAGAGAGGCGAGGGAGAGAATGAGAGTGGCAAGCGAGATTCACCAGGAGAGAGGCGAAATAGCAACAGTTTGCTATGGGGTACAATTAAATCAAACTGTGTTTATAACATTTAATTTGAATTAATAGTTTGCTATTATATACAATTTTCCCTTTGTTTTTTCCGTTGGCTCTATTTTGTTTTGTTGTTTTATGTCTAAGATTTGGGCCATTTGTTGGGCCAGATTTTTTTTTGGGGGAAAACAAAAGAATACTTTTAAATTCAAAATATTTATCAATGACCTTTTATTTGTAGAGATTTTTTATAGGGAAAATTGTATAAAATAACAAACTATTAATTCAAATTAAATACTATAACCACAGTTTCATTTAATTCTAATCTGTGGCAAATAATTTGCCACTCGCCTCTCTCCCCAGCTAATCTCGTTCTCCACTCTCCCTCGTCTCTCTCACTTTATACAAACACAAATGTATAAACTGTGTTTCTGTTTGTATAAAGTGAGAAAAAATTGTATATACACATGCAAATACATATATCTTCGTCCTATACACTTATAATTATATAATACAATTTTTTCCCTGTTCAGTTCTCTTTTGTCTTTCTCTCTTTATCGTTTTATACAAAAACGGATTATACAAAATACAATGTATAATTTGTGCTTGTATAAAGCGAGAGAGAGATTTGTATACAAATCTATCTGTTTACAAAAATATAGTTACATATACATATTTATATTTGTATTTAAATACATATAATACACATATACATATACGACTGAAAATCACAACAAAAAAACATATATACAAAAATACGGTAGATATACATTACAAATTTTTATGTATAATTATACCGAAAAATACAAATACAAATTTTTATGTATATGTATATCGAAATATACAAATTAATAGCCATAACAAAGTTTGTTATGGAACGCAATTATACAAATTATAGCTATAGCATACAAATATGATTTTTATGTTTGCTAAACCTAAAATTTACTCTTTTTTATAAATAAATATAGTTTGGATCATAATTATGAATAGTAACTACAGTTTTCCTAATTGCTATTCATAGCAACAAGTTCAGAGAGGAGAGAGGCAAACAAATTGTATCTCAAATCCAATTTATATCTCAATTGAAATTGTGATACATAGATAACAGATACACATATCCACATATACACAACCTCCTCTTCCTCTGATCTCAAATATTGTCCGCCTTTGTTCTCTCTCTTTTAATCTCATACACATATACACACTTTATCACTCCTAAAATAAATACACACACATACAATATGTATCAATATTTTGTGATTCATGAATGGCTAAAAACATTGATACAATAATTGAGTATTGTATCACCGCTAAAATAAGTATACGGATACAAATTTTCTGATAATAGTTGTATCAATTTTTTTCGATACATAGATATAGCTTGATAGATGTATTATTTTTTTATACACAAATATAATTTTTATCCCTAATATAATTTGATTGTATCAATATGTATAAATCGAAGAAGATATATTTTGAGAATATGCATATTAGTTTTTCTACATACACGGTATCCAAGTGGATTTACATGTATCTAAGATACATAGACATATTTCGGTAGTCTCACTCGCCTTCCTTCCATCTCGCTCGTCACTCTTCTATGTATATGGTCACACCTGATACATATAGATACATGTATTAGTGTGATTCACATGTATTTAGGATACATAGCTATCTGGCTTGCCTCCCTCCCTATTTTAATGTATCTGGTAGAAAAAAATACATGTATATAGGTGCATATTTTTCAATATATGGTAGAAAACTCTTAATTAGTTCGTAAGATATGTATTTTTTAAAAAGTATAAGTAGAATTAGTATATATGATATGAAGCTATGTCTAATAAGGTAGTTTTCCCTTTACTTGGGAGCAGTGTCATAAAAGACTCTGTTGGAACTCGCCTCGGGGCTCTAGCAAAATGCCCCAAGACTCAAGTGTGGGGCTTAGTTCGGCAAGACTTACTCCCTAAGCGCTTGACTGTACGTCCTAAGCATGCCCAACGCTCAAGGCTTGCCTAACAGACGATCTTACACAAATTATGTATTAAATTCTTTAGCTGACATTGTTGACCCTCATAATTCTTGAATAAATGAATGATACTTAATAGTTTTTAATCCATAGAATTAAAAATATTGAGAGTAACTCAAATAACAAGTTCTAGTATCACATCTTTACTATTTCATAACACTGTGAGAGGGTTATTATATATTACGTTACATTTCTTTTAAAAATACATAGATAAATTTTACTTTTTCACTTATCATTGGTCTTCATGTTGTTGTCACATGTCTCAAAATTATCATATTTTATTTAGCTATTTGAAAGTAATTTTATTTTTATTCATGATGGAGTGATATTTTTATTATAATACTAGTAAGTTTTATTGATTATTTTCTTTTAGGAGGGTATATTGTATAGTATAATAATAATAATATATTTTTAAAAATAATGATTCTTTTATTATTAGAAAGTTAAGATATTAGATTATTTATACTTATATATTAATCATGTTAGAAGTTTTATTTTCTATGAGTTTCCTTAATCATGTTTGTAATCATTTCAAATATTGATGTATTTTTATAATTTTGTGTTATTATATTGTAGTAGTATATTATAAATTAAAAATTGAAAGATCCAAGGGCTTACACCATACGTCTCGAGGCTTACGCCTCACATTATACTAAGTAAAACGCCTCGTCTCACGTTCCCGCCTTTTAAAACACTACTTAAGAGTCGCATCTTAATGTTAGGCAGTTGCATTTTATCAAAAAAACAAAAAAAACAAGGACCTTTTACTCCCTGAAAACTGATCAATTTGTATATAGTAATTTCTAAGGGTGTTTTTGGTACGTCGGAAAATATTTTCTAAATTTTCTCATTTGATTTTGATCAAAACTTTTGAAAAATATTTATTCTAAAAAAAATAAATTTCTTAAAATGAGAAATCATTTCCTTAACAGAAGTAGAGAAATAAGTTTCACAAGTGACCTTCCATTTTGACGGTGTCCTTCCTACTCTCAAAGACACATTATCTTTACCCCACCTCCCCTTCTCATAGTATGTCTAGATTATATACAATTTTTTTACAATAGTATTTTTTACTTATATACAGAATATAAAAAAATAAATAAGAAAAACTCACTTATTCTCTGATAAAATCATTTTTCTCTGTGTCGAACCACCCAAAGTTCCAATGTTTTCTCGGATAAAATATTTATTTTGAAATTGGCACAGAAGAATGAAACACAAAGTATAAAATGAATAAAGAAGTGCAAATAAAAGGACCAAATTAACATGTCTTTGTTAGTGGAATAGTGTGTAAGACTTTACTTAGCCAATATTATTTTAAATAGTATATCGAAGAATAAATATATTTTATTTTTGTGAGAATATAAAGATAAATATGACATATTTTATAATTAAATACACCATCCAATCCAAAATAAGGGAATTTCTAGTACTTTTCTTTAGTTCAAATCAAAATGAATGTTTTTTTCAAAGCTCTAAAGTTACCCTCTCTCTAATTGAATTTTCAAATTCAACACTACTTATTCCTACTTTGAAAAAAATCTTGAGGAAATTAAAGTAAAAAAGAAAAATATTTTCAAACAGTAATCATTCAATTAGTACAATTGATTATCTTTCTTAAAAAACAAATATTCATTTATTTTGAATTGAAGAGATAAGAGGGTCATCTCAATGTCATTCCTCACTAAAATACCTCATCAAGCATTACATGAAATAAATACATTTAAAAAAAAAAGGGCAATCAGTTAGCCCTGTTTTTTTTTAATCCCAAATTAGGAGTTTGGGGTTCTAAATTTTAGGACAGATCAAAAAAATATTGCAAAACATGAGTGCGAAAGTCATTTCCACCAGCCTTTCTTATTATTGAGTTGTCAATCAATTTTATTAAGGGTTCACATATTAATATACATATATATTTATTTAATTTTTTAATAGAAATACAAAATTTACTCTGTAAAAAAAAGCCCACGAACTCACACCTTGTTGTGAGCACTTGCACAATTATTTTCAGTGTAATCTAAAGTACAGTAAGTATTAATAGCTGCAAAACTGGCAAATTTGTGTAAAGGAATCAGAATGTTTTCTGTAGCACCAATCTTTCCAAATTCTCAATCAACTATTATTGGAAGGAGGACATACAATACTAATATTAATGCTTATCAAGCAAATTATCTAAGTTTTCGTCTTTGGCCCAATTTGCGTTCCAGAAGAACAAAATTAAGGAACCAAGCAATGGATCCTTCACGTCATTTGGCTGATTTTGAACCAACACTTTGGGGAGACCATTTTCTCTCCTACACTCCTCAACAAACAGTAAACGCGCCGCGCCTTCTCTTTTTTAAATACATTTGAGTTGTATCGTTTAATTAATGAAAATGATTATTTATCCATCCGCAGGAAATTAGTACACAAGAGAAAGTTGAAGTTGATGAATTAAAAGAGATGATCAGGAAAACGTTGGTGGAAACTCCTGACAATAGTACACAAAAACTTGTGTTGATAGACACAATTCAACGATTGGGAGTAGCATATCATTTTCATAATGAAATCGAAATATCCATTAAAAACATTTTTGATTCTCAACTACAGAGTGAGAATAATGATGACAATCTTCACGTTGTTGCTCTTCGTTTTCGACTACTGAGGCAACAAGGCCATTACATCTCTTCTGGTAACTTATATATATATATATATATATATTCTGCAACTTCTTCATTGTTTTTCCTTTTCTTTACTTACTTTTTGGCCCATTAGCTTTTCTATCTAATTGTAACTCCTACCTTACACTCATGTACTAGCTGGTAATTAAAGGCAAAATATTTTGGAAGAACTTAAAATTTGTAAAGAGCTTCAGATACTAATTTCACGTGGTACCTGCTTTTCCCATCATAATTTTGTTTATCAAGATTTAGATAGATGAAATTGAAGAAATTTCCTATTATATGTTGCTTCCGTTAGGATTTGAATATGAGGCTTCATGATTTATAAATTATTTTATTGACCACTATAGGCTACTACCAAGGGCAAGAAATTCGTACTCGCTCCGTCTTATTTGATGTGGCATCTTTTTCTTTTTAGTTCGTCCTAAAAAGAATGTTAAATTATTATAATTGAAAATAACTAAATTTAAAAATCTCTTTTTACCTTAATGAAATGATTTATAGTCAGACAAATATCTAAGGATTATTTTAGACCTTAAATTTTAAAAGTCTTTATTTTTACCATAAATATCATGACAAGTTAAATAGCGTCACATGAGATAGGACAGGAGGAGTAATTCAAGTAAGCATATACTTCATATTTTGTTCTTTAACGATTAGTATAAGGATGAAAGTTTTATCCTTCAGGTAACCTAGTGATTAGACAAATATCCAATCCATCGAATATGTATTTTTGTTATAATCAATACATAAATTAAGTAGTGCCTAATCCCCACAATTATGATTTTTTTATTTATTAAAATAAACCTTATTGTCAACAACGATAAAAGTGGAAACATATAACTTTATTGGCAGGGTGTGGAAATTGTTGATGAGAAAACATGTTGATGGATTAGTGAAAAACTATGGAAATTACCAAACAGAAATAAATAAACAAACTAGATTTTGCTATATATTAATTTTAAATATAAAGTTTATACAGACTGTACTTTTGCACAATTTATTAAATTTGGAAAAGTGCTTGTATGAATTTGCTCGTTAGATTCAGAGTTGATGTGATAGATTATAGATTAAAATTTAAAAGTTTTTATACACACGTAGAGGGGTCAATATTTTATTTTCTTTTATTTTATTAATCATGCATACTATTGCAAAGTTTTTTTTGGTCAAAATTAATATAAACATGATGATTTAACCAGATGTGTTCAAGCAATTCATGGATCATAACGGAAATTTCAAGGAAACACTTATTAATTATGATGTCCAAGGATTATTGAGTTTGTATGAAGCATCACATATGAGAATGCACGATGAGGAGATTCTTGAGGAAGCTCTTATCTTTACCACCACTCGTCTCGAGTCCCTACTCCCCAACTTGACCAATAACTCACTTAAGATTCAAGTTACTGAAGCGTTAAGTCAGCCTATTCATGAAACAGTACCAAGGGTAGGAGCAAGAAAATACATACACATTTATGAAAACATCAAATCACATAACGATTTACTATTGAAATTCGCGAAATTGGATTTTAACATGTTGCAAAAGGTGCATCAAGACGAGCTTAACGAGATATCAAGGTATGTATATATTCATTCATGTTATATCCCCTTCCTAATTAAATGAATACGCGATAAATGTATGTACTATGATATTAATAATGGTCTCGATCACTATATATATATATATGTACGTAGGTGGTGGAAAGATTTGGATATTGCAAACAAATTACCATATGCAAAAGACAGATTTGTGGAGAGTTACTTTTGGATAATTGGATTGTCTGTTGAGCCCCAATATAGTCGATTGAGAAGAATGTTAACAAAAGTAGTCAACATGAACTCTATTGTTGATGACACTTACGATGCTTATGGAACCCATGATGAACTTGTGCTTCTCACTAATGCAATTGGGAGGTAACCTAATTAGTTTTTAATACGTAGGTCGTTTTATCAAATATTATATCATTATATGTTAGGATTATTTTAGTATATTTTTCTTTGTCATCTTATTTATCACTGCTATAGCTTGTGATTATAATTACCTTCCACATGTTGCTCATGATATTATTTCGATCCCAACAAATTCAACTGTCAAGTACAGATGGGACATAAGTGCTATGGATTCATTACCACCATATATGAGAATTGTTTATCAAGAACTTCTCAATATCTACGATGAAGCAGAAGAAGTATTGGCCAAAGAAGGCAAATCGAATAGCGTAATCTACTATGCAAAAAATGAGGTATAGTTTGGGAAAATCCAAAAAATGTGAATCAACTATGGCTTCAATCAAGTTAGGTAGGATCAACTATATATATATATATATATATGAATCTTCACTGTCCATATCGCTTCACTGAAGCTAAGACATCATAGCCCAATATTGTAAGAAATATTGAACTAAAAGACGACACCACCACCAACAACAACAATAGCAACAAATGTCCTTCAATTCAGAGCAATTTCAGGTCGACTTAATGAATCGGATCAGATTGAATATATATCCTCATGCCCATGCCGCATTGTTAATTTAACTATCGACAAAAGCTACTACCGTACTATTAAGAAAACAAATAGAGCCCAAGACCTGAATTATCTTTCTGATGGTGGGGCAAAACTAATGAAAAAGATAAGAGTGGGAACCTGCAATTGAATGTTGCAAACTGTCCAAAGTAGGAACCTTTCTCACCAGCTGCCTTGTACATTTTAATAGCTATCTACAAATGGTTAAGGAAATGACAGTGATTAGAATTGTAGAGCGTTGAGAGTAAGATCATCAATCAAGACAGAGTCATTAGTGTACAAAATCTCTTAGGCAATTAAGCAAACCAAAAATGCTTTCAGCTTTTTACCCATTCTTTCAGAAACCAAAGCTTCAAGTGTTTAATTTGCACAGTGCAAAATCATCATCATATTGGAATTCCAAATTGCCATGGAGCTTTACATAAATTTGGAAGGAGACAAATAAATGGAGCCAAAATTCACATTCATATCATCAATAGATTGTCTACAAATTCATTGTGCATCAAGAGATGAATTAGGGTACCACGATCTTCTTTCCTTTCTCAATGATGAAGTAAGACCAAACTCATGAGATTATTATCCTATGTCAGAACAAGTTGATAGAACCCATTTTTTACATCCCTATGTTCCTCCTGTGTGGCGACATGGGGCAAAAAAAGAGAAGAGTGTAAAAAATCTCTGACATGAAAATAAGATTAAGAAGTCTAGTACGTATATGATCAACTACTGTTGTTTGTTCATCCTCAATAAGCTCAAGTGACCACAATTTACAAAGTGAGTTGTCTCATCTTTCATGGTGCCAACAAATTCAATAAAGGTCGAAACTGTAGTTATTGAAGATTAGAACTAGAGAAATAGTAGAAGAAGAAGAATAAGAAGAAATAGACGAGGAAGAAGAAGAAGAATCAATCTGTTATAGAAGAAGCTTATATCTGAGAGTTATAAGTTCTCTCACAATTCTCTTATTGATTCATTAAACAAATGAGTACAAGAATGATTATATATAAACAACACTTCTGGAACTTAGTTAGTTAGAGCTCCTAACTAACTTTTGAATAGGTAGTTATATAACCGACCAACTAACTTATACACTTCCTATTTTGAATATTGAACTAACTACTTTTGCTCACTAATCTTAACACTCCCCCTCAAGCTTGGAAGTGAAAATATGTTCTGAACTCCAAGCTTGGAACTGAGCAACTGATGTTGAATTTTAGTCAACCTTTTTGTAAGCATATTAGCTGGTTGTTCATGTGTAGGAGTGTGCTTGGTACATATTATTCCTTGTACAATTTTTTCCCTTATGAAGTGATAGTCTATCTCAATGTGTTTTGTCCTCTCATGATACACAGGATTAGTAGCTAACAAGATGGCTACTTTACTGTCTGTGCATACTTCTACAGGTTTATGCACTTCAATCCCTAAGTCTTTTAACAGCCCAACATCCAGATGATTTCTGTTACAGTTGTAGTTATACTCATGTACTTAGCTTCTGTTGAGCTTCTAGAAACAATAGATTGTTTCTTAGACTTCCATGACACCATTGAGTTACTACACTTGATAAAATATCCTGTTACAGACTTCCTTGTAAGAGGACAAGATGCCCAGTCAGCATCACAAAAAGCTGTGAGATTGGTATCTTGAATGCTGGATAATAATATCCCTTGACCTGGCTGACCTTTTATGTATCTAACAATCCTTAAAGCTGCTTCCATATTAGTCTTTTTAGGTTGTTGTAAGAACTGACTCAAGGTTTGCACTCCAAATGCAATATCAGGCCTTGTCATAGTGAGATATAGTAGCTTTCCTATCAGTCTCTGATATAGGCTTTGATCAGCTAGAGGATCTTCTTGTACATTCTCTGAATTGAAGTGATCATCATATTGTATTGAGCTTAGCTTGTTGTTATTGTCAATAGGAGTTACTGCTGGTTTTGCATTTCCCAGTCTTGTTTCAGAAATGAGTTCTAATGCATACTTCCTCTGATGCATCAGTATACCCTTACTTGATCTAGCAAACTCAATCCCCAGAAAAAATCTTAACTCTCCTAAGTCCTTCATCTTGAAGGTTTGATTCAGTTTACCTTTTGTTTCTTTAATGAGCTGAACATTACTTCCTGTAATTAGCATATCATCCACATATATAAGAACAAACACTGAACTTGTTGATGTTTGCTTGATAAACAAAGAGTGATCATTTTCACTTTGCTTGAACCCAAACCTTAACAATGCCTCAGACAACTTTGCATTCCACTGTCTGGGAGCCTGTTTCAATCCATAGAGGGATTTAGTGAGTCTACACACTTTATTCTCCCCTTGACTCTCAAATCCCTGAGGTAATTGCATATAGATTTCATCAGGTAAATCTCCTTGAAGAAATGTATAAAATACATCCATTTGATGTATCTGCCAGTGTTGTTGTGCTGCAATAGCCAAGACAGTCCTAACAGTCTTCATATTTACAACATGACTGAAGGTTTCTTGATAATTTATACCTTCTTTTTTGTTGTACCCCTTTGCTACCAACCTTGCCTTAAACCTTTCAACCTCTCCATTAGGTTTGTACTTAACTTTGAATATCTATCTGCAACCTATAGGTGTTTTTCCATCAGGAAGTTCAACTACTTCCCAAGTATGATTATCTTGTAGTGCCTTTATCTCAGCATTCATTGCCTCAGTCCACCTAGGATCAGATACTGCCTCCTTGTAAGACTGTGGTTCTATCACACTTGACATCTTTGCTAGATATGTCTGATAGGTAGGATTAATACTGCTGTATGACACATATTTATCCAAACTGTAAGGTCCTTTATTGATGTTTAGTGACACAAAATCTTTTAACCATAATGGAGGTTTGGTTCTTCTTCCTGATTTTCTCACTTCAGTTTGAGATATATGTTCTGCTTGTATATCTTTATATACATTTGTTTGTTGTAGGTTGGTAGAAGTCTCCACTTCAGTATTTTCAACTTGTTCTTGAGGCAGTATCTTAGTTTGAGAATTATGCTGTGAATGTGTTGCTATTGACACTTCTTTTAGATCATCCACTTCATGATTTATACCAGTGTATGTAAAAACAGGAACTGAATCCTTGGACTTGAGTTTGAATGGAAAAACATCTTCCTGAAACACTACATCCCTGTTGACAGAAAACACATTATTAGCTAGATCATATACCACATATCCTTTTTGAGTCTCAGCATATCAGGAAAACACAAGCTGTAGACCTGGGCTTTAACTTGTCTGACTCATTTACTCTCTTAGCAAAATATAGACATCCTAACACCCTTAACTGATGCAAAAAAGGTTTCTTATTATACAGTTTTTCAAAAGGAAACATATCAGCAATAACACTACTAGGCATCCTGTTAATAATATAAACAACAACTTTAACACACAACCCCCAAAACATTATAGGAATTTTCGCTTGAAACCTTATGACTCTTGTTATCTCTAAGATGTGTCTGTGTTTTCTTTCACCTATTCTATTTTGTTGGGGTTTGTAAGCACATGAAGTTTGATGTATTATGCCTAATTCTTTGAACAACTCAGAACAATTTGTATTCACAAACTTAGTACCATTATCACTTCTTATAACCTTCACTTGCTTATTGAATTGAGTCTTTATGTAAGTCAAATAAGTTTTCAGCATTGTACACACATCAGACTTCATCCTTAACAGGAACACCCAAGTCATTCTAGAGTAGTCATCCACAATAGTTAAGAAGTATTTGAAACCATCAAATGTAGGTTTTTTATAAGGACCCCACAAATCCATATGTAGAAAATCAAATGTACTCAAGCTTCTAGAAGTACTAATAGAAAATGACATTCTAGCTTGTTTGGCACAAGGACATACAGTACATTTACTTATAGACTTTGTAATATCCTCCAAACTAGTATTTAACAACTTCTTAAGCTTTGAACTAGAGCTATGCCCAAGCCTTTTATGTAGTAACTGAATATCTAGTTTCTTAGTCTTTCTATCACTGTGCTCAGAATGTCTTGCTGACAATACAACATCATCTTTTTTTACTTTGTTGGACAAAATGTACAATCCTCCATCCTCTCTACCAATCATCTTCACCTTTCCACTGAAGAGTTCCTGAAACAAACAATAGTCAGGAAAAAAGGATGCAGAACAATTCAACTCCTTGGTTAGTTTAGCAACAAATAACAGATTAAATTTGAACTGAGGAATATAAAATACTCCTGAAACTGTGTTCTTCCCATCTAGTGTGCTAGAACCTAGATGTGTTACCAAGGCTTTATCACCATTTGGAAGATGTACTTTCTTGGGATTTTCAACTTTAGATATAGACTGATTTTTTAAGAGACTCAGGTCAGCCACAACATGGTTTGTGGCTCCTGTATCTATTATCCATCCTGGACTGTGACTCTGACTTCTTGGAGTAGAATTTGTACCTACTGGATTTACACAATGTGAAACCTCTGACTTTTTGTCAAGGAATTGCAAGACCTGATTATATTGCTCCCTAGTCAATGTACATGATTCCAGCTGATTCTGATGTGGTATCTTAACCTCTCCGTCACACCTCAACTGTCCACTTCCTGTATCACTTGCATTTGACCTCACTCCATCATTAGACCTTGATCTCAACCCATCCTCAGAGTCACCAGTTACATTATATGCAGAACTACTTACTCCCTTCTTTTTGAACATAAAATCCTGTGGATATACAATGATCTTGTAACAATTTTCCCTTGTATGTCCTTTAATTTTGCAGAAATCACACACAAGATTATATCCCTTCTTAATCTATTTTGAGTTCCACTTGTCCTTGAGTACATAACAACATCAAAAGACCCTTGTAGACTCGCTGGACCAGTACCCAACACTCCTGCATTAGCTACAACAGACCTTTGACTTTCATCACTTAAGATCATAGAGTAAGCTTGATTAACACTAGGTACTGGTTTCAGCATTATAATTTGACTTCTTGCTTGTAGATATGAGTCATTCAACCCCATGAGAAACTGAAACAACTTCAAATTTTGATGATGCACACTATATTCCTTTGACCCCTCACAAGAACACCCTGGGATTGGAACTAGAGCTTCAAACTCTTCCCACAGTCCTTTGAGTTTAGAATAGTACATAGACACAGAACTGGTGTCTTGACTTAATGTTGCAATTTCTTTATGCAGATTGAATGTTCTTGACCCATCAACTTTGTTGAATCTTTCGAACAGATCATCCCATACTACTTTAGCATTTGAAGCATACATTATACCTCCTAACAGATTCTTTGAAACAGAGTTCATGATCCAAGATAAGACTATAGCATTCACTCTTTCCCAATTGCACTCTAGCCCTAGAGACATTTCCTTCTTACAAGATCTGTCAACCATTCCCAATTTGTTCCTCCCTAGCAATGCAATCCTCATTGATCTAAACCAGACTGAGTAGTTTTCTACCCCAGTTAACTGAAACGAAATAATCTGTATTCCACTCACATCAGAAGAATGCAAGAACAAATGGTGATTGTGATTGACTACCATTACAGCTCCAGAAGTGGTGCCAGTGGCCTGTGCTTGAGAATCCTCAGAGTTTGGTGCCATTTCGTTGAATCAATTGGAATCTGACTTTCTTTCAGTTGATGAGTTGCGAATTTCCCAGAATCAAGCAATGAATATCTTGCTTGAAAGCTCTGATACCATGTAGCTAGTTATTGAAGATTAGAACTAGAGAAATAGTAGAAGAAGAAGAAGAATAAGAAGAAATAGACGAGGAAGAAGAATAAGAAGAAATAGATGAGGAAGAAGAAGAAGAATCAATCTGTTATAGAAGAAGCTTATATCTGAGAGTTATAAGTTCTCCCACAATTCTCTTATTGATTCATTTAAACAAATGAGTACAAGAATGATTATATATATACAACATTTCTGGAACTTAGTTAGTTAGAGCTCCTAACTAACTTTTGGATAGGTAGTTATATAACCGACTAACTAACTTATACACTTCCTATTTTGAATATTGAACTAACTACTTTTACTCACTAATCTTAACAGAAACCTTTGTCACATATAATTTAGTTATCTTAAGACCTCAATATATTTTGTGGTGCGTCGTCTATCAACTAAGATGACAACGTTTTTGCTCTACCTGTAAATCGTAATAGCAGTTACGATTATCATTTTCTTATTGCCATGTAAATATATAAAGTTTTCTTGCTGGTACAACATCACCGTGTAAGAGTTTTTTTACTGTACAAATGATGGCTCCATCTTTCAACTATTCTCTCCAAATTTCTCTCATGGACATGTAAATTCAAGTTCAGTTCCCCTTTTTTTCTTTCTATTTGTGATTGTTCTGGTCAGACACAGTTCTAACTAGGGATGGCAAAATGGATAAATAATATTGGTATTCGCTCATATTACCCATTATAAATGGGTTGGGTATCCAACTCATTTAAAAATAGGTAAAAAAATGAGTAATATCCATTTAAAAGTGGATAGTTAAATGGATAAAATGGGTAAAAGCAAACAAAAAAAAAGTGATAAAGGTAAGAAAGTCTTTTTTTTTTTAAATGAAACTTTTTTTTACATTTAATTTGGGATAGGGGGTGGGGTGGTAGGAGGTGGGTTGGTAATTTTTTTTTTATATATATATTTTTTTAAAATTTAAATTTTGTTAATTTTTTCTTTGGATAGGGTGCGGAGGGGGAGTTGGTAGGGCGTAGGGGGTGGGGTGGTAATTTTTTTTATAAAAATCAAAAATTTTAATGAAAAAATCAAAAATTTTGTTAATTTTATTTTGGGATGGGGTGTTGAGG